GGGAGCGTCGCCGGGGGACGCTGCTCCCGGTTTTCCCGTTTCGGCCTCGCGGGGTCTCCGTCCGTTTGCCGGGTCAGTCCTGCGCAGTAGTGAGACTCCCGAGTATTTTCTTCTTGTATTATATCCATATTTTATATATTTTGTAACCTACATTTATAAAACCCTTCCTGAATCAGTTTTTTTTTCTTTCCATTAGCTNTGAAAATCGCATTTGAAGTCGAATTTCAACTAATTTCAACCTCCGGTTCGTTTATGCGGAGTGCGAAAACCTAGTCTTTAGTGTAAAATAAGGTTTCAAACACAAATTTCGGAAACCTACATTTCGTTAGTTCCGTATCGTTTATGCCGTGATTTGAACCTTGGTTTCAAACTCAGGTTTCGATTGAAGTTAGGTTAAGAGGCTCGCATAAACATAGCTATTATTTCTTCATTTTACAGCACTGAAAAAAAATGTACGGTCAAGGTAGAAATACCTCCAGCCGATGATATATCTGAGGGCGATTCCGGCGTGTCTCGAGAAGAAGACACACAGACAAATTAATTCCACACAGAGTACTAATACAATTGAAGATTTATTCACATTAGCTATATACTTTAGTTACATATATTTTAATTCAGGCTTTATTATTCACTTTATAAATCTAAGAACTTCAGCTTCTGTAATAAATAAATAAATAAAAAAAAAAAAATATGGAAATACCGTCTGTCTCGGGCTTAGAGGCCGAAAGTTCCGGGTGCTGGAGCCGTTGCTTCGATTGCTCCGGGTGCTACGCCCAGAACTTCCGGTCTCTGACTTCTCTGAGCCTAGAAGGCGGACGGTATGTCTGTGCGGCCCGTAAATACGGCTTCCACGGCCGGAGTTTTTTTTCAGTAAGGGTATCTACTAAAACTGACTGGCATACAATCAGAACTTTTCTGGTGCATTTTTAGTACTTTCCTTGAAAATTCGGTACCTAGTCATCAGAAAAATGCACTTACTTTTTCGGTGCCTTACTTTGACGAATTCGAAATTTTCCCCCGATATTTTGAATGGATTTGAATGGAAAAAAAAAACAGTGTTGCCAAATTTCGATAATCGCCACTGATGACGACCCGCTACCTGTACGGCTTTCTCCCTTGGCGAGCCACTACAGTTGGAGTCTTAAAACCATCGGGTCTAGGACTATTTTTCGTGGTTGAAATAGAAACAGGAGAATCTCAATCGGCGAGAGCTTACTATGCTCGAGTACAACCATGGCGGTGTAGCCATCCGGCAGGAAAACATCGGTGAAAACCCTGATTTCCCGGTGGAGCTGGCAAGGGTGGACTATGAGTCACGACCGTTAGTTAATTAGCCGAGTCCGGAGTCCGAGTGGCGGAGTCCATTAATTGGGGCGCCCCCCGCCCCTACCCCGCGCACCCAACCGCGCCGCCCGAATCGCCCTTAAATCCACGCTTTTATGCAAGAAGGAGCTGTGTACAAACTAATGTTTACCCTCGTCACTCGGGCACGTACCACACAACTCCAGAGAATTGATATAATTTCACGACACGGAACTACTGTTAAAGGACCGTTTATGAAATACTTAACGCCCAAGGAGGGGGGGGGGGTTCGGGGAGAATGCTACGTCAGTTTAACGAAAAGGATGGAGAATACTGCCGTGCCAAGGAAAAACGCTGTATGAGCCTTCAGGCGTTGCCAAATTTCCTTTGAAAAATAACGAATATTGATTCGGTACTATTTAGACCCTTACGGTTAAGCACCACATTCTTGTTCGGCGAAACAGAGCCAGTTGAGGTATATAATAATATACTAGACTATTTTTTCCGAGCTGGGCAACGTTACTGGCGTTGAGCACGCGAATTTTCAATTGGTTGCCAAAGCGATCTCACCCTCGCTTCCCCAATTCCCACCTACTTCCGCCGCCCCACGTCGCACCGGGTACACCCCGTGAGTTCACCCCCTCGTTGGCCGCCACGGTGGAAATTCGATCCACCNNCCTCCACGCACTCTAGCGACATTCAGCCGTAACGCCCAACGCAGTCCCCCCAAAATCCCCAAGCAAACCCGACCGAGAGTCACTTGGCAAGCTTCTATACTTCATGAGGGTAAATCATATGGACTACGTTTTGCAACGGGGGACTACTACAAATATCTTAAACTCATTCTAGAAACAACGTAAGTATCATTCGTGTCTCCATGCGAACAGATTATTTTGATTTATACGCCTGAAATAGTAGATCCCTTTTGCGAAATATAGACCATTTGCGACTGTCCACGGGGAAAAGCCTTGGTCCACAAAAACCTTAAGTGGACTAAATTTTGCGATCGGGTACTACAACAATACCTGGCTCATTGAATCAACAACGAGTCTGTCATTAGTTTCCCTATGTGGAAATGTTCTTTTATGGGTACTAGAAATACTGCTATGTTGAGGGAAAACACCGTATATGCCCTTAGACGTTGCCATATTTCCTTCAATAAAAACTTAATTGACAAGGAACATTGTGATTATTTTTCTTCAATTTTTTCAGAAAATTTTGTTCGCAATTTTATCTAAAATGTCTAAAAGTTTCGAGGAAAATACGCATGATTTTCCTCCAAAATACATGCTTTATTCGGGGCAATTTAGAAACTTTGATGTTCATACAGCGCTTTTCCTTAGCGGGGCAAAATAGTAGTTCCCAACTGCATACAGGATGTCAAGTTTTTTTTATCATTTTGGGAATTCCTTATGAAATCCTGATTTTTGACCGCTAACTCCTGATTTCATATTTTTTCCAAACCCTGATCAAGTCCTGACTTTTTGCGGAGAAAAATTAACGGACGGATAGCGGATAGTTAAGGAAAAATAAGCGGACGGCCGACTCTTCTCAAATCCTGATTTTACGAACGATTTTTCTTCAAATCCTGATAGAATCGGGAAAATCGGGAAAATTCTGATGCTAGACACTCTGAGTAAGTCGAAATTAGGTAATTCTTATCGAGGCAAGGAGAGACGTTCGCTGTTAATGGGAAAATTTTCTACTTTTGTAATGAGGATAAGTTCGAATCAACTTTGACTCCTTACGAGTCGGATTTGAGGAGTGGCTTACCTGCGCTTTGGTGTGTGTTGCGTCGCCGTTGAGGGTGGCTTTGACGTTCTCGACGTTTTCGGTGGCCTTTTCGAGCTTGCAGGCGGCCCCGGCCCCTTCTTCCGTGGCCACGGCCCCGTTCTCTTCGGTGGCCTCCTTCGGCGGCGAGGCCGTTATGTCCACCGATCTTTTACTATTCCGTCCACCCATTATTGCACACTAGTAATTGTCACTCCTGAAACACAAAACCAAACACCCGTACATTAGTCTACAATCATTGACTTCCTCTTCATCTTTTGCAACGAAGAAAATCTTAGGCAATTAGGCCCCCAAGGTTTATTTTCTTAGACGTGTTTTGACTGACCTCCTGAAACGATCATATCTCCTGGCGTGCTAAGGAAAAACACCGCATCAACATCTAGATCTTGCCACATTTCCCCTTAGGAAACGTTCATTCTTGAAAAAATTTGAATGTTTTTCAATGTTCTTCTTTGTAATTTTCAGATATTTCAGTTTGAATTGCGGTCAAGATCTGGCAACGTCTGCAGGTTCATACGGCGTTGTTCCTTAGCGCCGGAGTATTCTTGTGCTCGAGCAGCGACTTGGAAAGCGTTCCCAGGGTTGCCACAGAATTCAGAAAATGAAATTCCCTGATTTCTCTGTCAAATTTTGGTAAAATTCCCTGACGATTGAGGATAAGCCAGATGCTTAAAAGACATGGTTTGAGATAGTTTTCAGGCGAAATGTGTTATTGGAAACGTTCAACCAATTCTAGGAAGGAAATAAAGGTGACTTCACAATTTTTCCCGATATTCTCGGCATGTCCCCTGACGTTTCCAGGTTTTCCCTGACTTTTTAAAATTTTCTGACATTGTCCGGTTTTCTTGGTATTCCCTGACCGTGGCAACCCTGTGACATGCATAATTCTGTATTAGGCGAATTTTATCTGTTTTTGTTTGCTCAACAAGTTGTTCATCAGCCATCAATGGGCATGAAGAAGTGTTGGCCTCCAAATTTAATTTTTGCCTGACATTTACCGTTTCTCCCTAACTGTGGCAACCCTGCTTCGCGGTTCGAGCAGTGCAAACTGATCGATGATGTTGAGTTTCCAGCGGAACTTGAGCAACGACAATTAGGATCAGTCGATTCGATCAATTAGCAAGGAATTTGGATTTCGGGAATCGATTCAAAAAACTTCCGGCGCTCGGGCAATCAGGTGTGACCCGAGCCATGAACTCCGGCTAGGAAAGAAACGTCGGCATCGACCAAATCCGAAGCTGACGAACGATAACTGGACACCAATTCGCAAATAAGGGACGATTAATTCGGCGGACTAATTACGTTTTACATCCCGATAAATTCGTATTTTATTAATGGAAAGGCAACACCTGAAGGTGAAACCCGGGGTTTTTCATCGACGTTTTCTGATTGGTTAATCAAACGACCAATGAAAAACATATCGACACAAACGAGGGACACAAAACAAGGCTTCTACTTTTTCCACCTACCTATCCTATTTTATACTTACCAGTCCCGATTCACCTCGTATTATCCCATTACATTCCAAGTTATCCCGTTTTATCAAAATTTATGCTGATCTTCACCTTTTCATGGGGAAAGAGTTCCGCGAACCAGGGCGTCAACTTAAACAGGTTGGCCGAAAATTAGTACTTTTACAGTACATTCCGAAGATATTCAGTACCTCCTCGAAAAATTAATCCTTCTTCAGTATCTCCATTGGACGAAATTTGAAAAAATTCTAATTTATTGCTCAAATTACGACAAAAATGACAGTAAAATGAAAAAAATCCCGGACCTTCTTGCGGAAATTCCGCACTTTTTCAGTATTTCCGGACCACCCTTGAAAATTCAGTAATATTTCCGGAGATTAGAAAATTAAATGACCAAATTTGAAAACCTGACTCCGTATTTTCGCGTTCATCTTTTTCTGCTCGCGCGTTGAAGTCACTCTACTTACTAGTGTAAGGCTTCGCCTCGAGTTTCCTACCATTTAGAAAACGACACACGAAATACGTTTCTCACGTATAAGAGCTTGTTTCCCACTCGCAATTGTGTGCGCACGACGATCACTGAACTTTTAATTGACAATTCAATCTACGTTATCAAAGATAAGCTCAAGTTAGTATTTAGAGGAATGGAAAGAGCCGCGCGCGTGCAAAGCAATCTTTAACTGTTCCTAGACAGTTTAATGAATCAATGCAATTACAGATCGAACCACTGAAAACACTTGATCCAACTCAAGTGGCTTATTCAGAGGATTGAGAGCTGAGCAATGCTACAAGATCTCAGGATGATATATAAGAAATTGACGATTCTTAAGTAAGTAATGATTCGAATCTTATAATTTTTAGCTGATCCCGAGGATCAAGTATCAAAACACGATTCTGTGACCAGCGCAATGATCCATTCTACCTGATTAAAGAAAAACGCCTGATGTCCCCGACTCCCCGCTCATAAGATATTTAAGTATTTTCGAAAAAAATTGGGAATATTTTTTCTTAAAAAATTTGGACTGTTCACATCAAATTACAAATAATTCTCCCTCTCTCTCGAAAACTGGCGATTCGTCAAAGGAGATAGGGTAACCTCTGAAGGTTCATACGGCGTTCTTCCCAGGCACGGAAGAAATAGGATCGAGTTAATCAGAGAGGTCGGACATAAAATTGTGGACTAAAACTGCAAATTTTGATGATCATTTCGTCGCATTTTACATTTTAAGGAGTGCCGATACAGGAAAATTTCACGAGGAAACCAAGGAAACCATTTTTAGAACCTCAAAGTTTTGTATAAACGGAGTTTTAAGCTTTTGAAGTCTCAAATTTTGTCCGACCTCTCCTATTGACTCGATCCACTATTCGGTGGTCCACTTGAAATGTGGCAAGATTAAAATTTTGAGAGCTGCGTTATCGGTTTCGGATTAATTATGCATTGTACTGGCGACGAGTGTCGAGTGAGATGGCCTCACTGCCGCTTGGCAACCATCATCTGCTTTGTTTTCTCATCGAGTGTGTACATTCCGTAAATTGTTCATCGAGGAGTGATGACAAACGAGAGAGGAGTGCCACGGCGGATAAATAGTTTTCCTCTGTCTTTGATTTTAAAGGGCTTTCACATAATTACGATTCCCCTCGAAACAATCGTAATGTTATCCAACAGCAGTTCCTCGCCCTCTTGAAGTGGGCGAGAGACAATCGTCACACAATGGACCGAATAAACGGGAGAGGTCGAATAAGAATTTTTTTACTCAAACTGCAAATTTAGATGTTGATTTCGTCCAATTTAAAATTTTGAGGGATGATTCTTAAAGAAAATTGTACTAAAAAACCAATAATATCATTTTTGAGAACTCAAAATTTGGTAAGTTCCGAAATTTTGTCCGATCTCTCCCATCGACTGGATTCACTGTGCGTCATAAGAAATTTAAGACTTCTCAAGACGCAACCAAGATGCTCCTGTCATAATTTCCTATTGAAATGCGTCGTAAAATAAGAATCAAACCGAAATTAAGTACTTCAGTCATAATTCTTCCACGTCATTAAAGCTTGATGGTTGACGAGTTGGACTAAAATGTTCAATTTCATTTATCAGCCTTCTCCTCACCATCCTTCCTATCTCTTATCTCGTGCATTTAAAATTTTTGAGCTGTTGCACATTATGGAATGGAGACGTACGTTGCGAAGTTACAGTGTTGCAATTTTTCATGAAATTTCAAAAAAATATGCAAAAATATCTTTCGAAAAATTCAAAATTAAATGCAAGGCGACTGGTTTTTGCTTTTTGGTGTTTTTCAGTCCGTGTTGCATTGTAACCCAGACCACGAAAATATATGTTCCATATTTTTCATATACCTATTTCACAACTTTGTAGAATTTTACGATATATTTCATGCTATTTTACACTGCCACTTATCACTTAATGCAACAATATTCCACAAAATATGGGCAGTGTTTAACATGAGTTTAAATTAGAGTACCTTTATAGACATAGTATGGCCATTTCTGTACCGGTTCTTCATTGGTCGCGAGAAAATAGGCGGACACGATGTTCTTACGGCCGTAAATAAACAAACAAAATGACTGTTATCAGCAAGCAAATGTGAGGTTATGCACATACCTTACATCTTCCTGTGATAAAGGCGAAAGGCGATTCAACAGTGTTTTCATGTGTTATTCGTAGATATGCTAAACTAAATTGTTACTGCCGTATAATTGAAATTTTTGTCAAATTTTAGCTCCTTATCAATGTTCAACGCAGGCGTCGCCGTCTCGTTTGTTTATTTACGGCCGTAAGAGCATCATGAAGCCTAAAAACTCGTTGACCAATCAAAAAGCGGCAAGGATTGCCTGTAGTTTAAGGATACGAACGGCCATACTCTGTCTATCTATACTAAAAGCTCCGAGACCTCCTAATTTTGCGAAACTGGTAACGCTTAGTTCCAGCGTTCTACCGGGCCGATTTTCATGATTTTTACGGCTATCGACGGGCAATTGTCTATAGATAAGCCAACTCTTTTCAGATTTTCAAAATATGGCCCAGGTTTTTTTATATTACGTGGTAAAGTTGCGAATTCTCCCATTTAAACAATGTAAATTTATACTTTTTGTCATAGTTCGTTTGAGCGTTCTACCGGGCCGATTTCCATGATTTTTGTGTAAATCGACAGGTAATAGGCCCTAGATGAGCCCGCTGTAATTAGATTTTGGAAAAAGGACCCAGGTTTTTTTAAAATCACGTTTTAAAAGTGAGTGAGTTTACAGAATGCTCCGGTACTGCTACCGCTATGCGCGGGAGGATGCGCAGTGGTCGAGGAGGTGGCGCAGTAGCTGTGTAGCCTGCGCATCAGCTCTACACTTATCTACACAAGATTTGCGCAGATGATCTCATCCTGAGCGGTGGCCAAATCGTCTAAACCGTCAAATGTGTCCACTTTGAACTCGGAATGGTGTGGGTTCGATCCCCGACTCATGAAATTTTAATTATTACCTGACTATCATTGATCATTGTTTTACTGCAATATTTCATCAAGCAGTCATTCCAAAACGCGTCCTTTTAATTTTAAAGTAATTTTAAGTAAAGTTTAAAATTAAAGTATACCTCATATCGTAATTTTTTAGGGGAAAAATAAAACTAACACTGATAGGAGGGTAAAAATAGGGCCGCGAAGCGGCCCATTGATGGCGCGGAGCGCCTTCAGGGGGTTGGGCCGCGTAGCGG